CAAAATAGAGGGGGCCAAGATGAACAGCAAATGTGATAAGGCCACTCTAATCTTGCCAAAAAAGGGCACATCTTTTGACGAGTAGAATGTAATCAAGTTAGAAGTTGTGATAGGGTAGGAGTGCGATAAGAGAGTAAGGGGTAGATAGATGAGCCAAGACAGAAAGAGGAGTGATGGCATAACCATTTCGGGAGAAAGTTGGTCAAGGAATTGACTTCACTTGTCCCTTTGACGAGTTGTAGCTTGGTGCTGAGTGGAAACATTCATTTATGATGCTGACTACAATGTTGACACTGGGAATTATGATAACTACTATAGCAGGTCGTCAGACAAGGTGCATCCAACTGTCTCCCTGGCAAAAATAACAAGTTGCGAAAACAAGGTCAACCCACTTCTATATAAAGTAGTGTTGAGAGAAAGAGATGCAACATTGGAAAGTAGGACAAAAAATAGGGGAAAGGAGTGATCCCACAACAGATGAACATAAAATTGGTCAAGGGGATTGCCTTAACCTGTCACTTATAATTTGTAACTTTGTGTTAACGATGATACCAACGCAACATTTAAGAATGTACCATGTCGGCGGTCCGATGTTGGAAAGCATCATGAATAGTATTGCAGAGGACGCAGGACTAGGCACGTTCCACAAGGTCTCTATATTGTCGCAACCAAGTTGCGAAAACGAGGTCAAGACAACACAATACAGGAAAGGAGACTGAGACAACAAATTGCCACGCCATCTTGGTCTTACTATACAAATCAATACACGTTTGGTCGAAGATATGAAGGCCAAGATTATGTGGCCTTAAGTATTTTCGCAATCTCCTTTCGTGGTATAGAAGTTGTTTAACCTGGTTTTAGCAATATGGTCATGTTAGCAGGAAGACCTAGAGAAACACCTTGTCCGGAGTCCATAGCATGACGGGTTGTGATTTGGTGCTAAGAATGGCAAGGCTCGTTGACGATTTCGGCTAAAGGTCTGGGAATGTACCAAGTTCATAGTCCGACTCTGGAAATTATCATGCATACTATGGAATCCGCACATGAGGCGTTCCTTTCAGTCGTCCTGCCAATATGACCAAGTTGCGAAAACAAAGTCAAACAACCACTAAAAAACGTCTTTGAGAGTAAATTTTATCAAATAAAGAGGTCATATGAGAAATGGGGTAATAATTATGAAGCTGAACTTGAGACGACGTAGACAGATAATTTGAGTTACCACTGCCCTAAAGATAAAAAATATTTCTCATATAAGGCCATAGTTTCTACCTCACCCTCAACGAGATTCGAAAATGACTCATGGGTACCGTGGAGACATGTTACTGAAATTTACACAATAATGGATGCAAGTGGATTCAGCTGAGTCATAATGATTAAAAAAAACACGTATGATCGGGTTCCGAATAAAATTGAGAAATACTGATGAGACATATGGCATTCAAAATAGCTTTCCAACTGGAATTAGAAAGCCTTTTGAGGAGCAAGACTGAGTTCAATATAACGGATTCCTAAGGGATACTTATATCGGTGGGAAAAACTCCAGTACCACTTTATTATCTTATTTGAGACAATAAGCCCAAAATTGAGTTAAAAAAACTGGAGGCAAAATGGAATGAAGAGAGGGGACTTATCCCCATATTCCACTCTGATAAAGGTCGTAACCATGTGTGAACAAGGTAAACATATGTTTTTAGTAAACGTTCTCTTGTGGTCGCGCTTAACTTTGGATGTGTATGACATCAGGTATTTCATTAAATAGTTCATTATTCATTTTTTAGATATTGAACGGGCTCATTTAAATTTAATGAAGTAATAGTAAATAGAGAGATGTGTTTAGCTTAAAATAGAGCAGCCACCATCATTTGTATTTGTTTTGTTTATAAATATTAGGGAAATAGGAAATACTTGGTAGTAAAACAGCATATATACATGTAGTAATATAAAAGAAAAACATTTATTTAATTTATATTAAAGTTTTAAAACTAAGTTTGAATGATTTATTTAAATAAATTAAACACTAACGTAACAGGCAATATAATAGTAGTAATGTCATCAATTTTACCTCTGCAGTGTAATTGCGAAGAAAATCCACAATATTAAGAGCGCTCCCTGGCACGGCAAACATCAATAGAAAGGGGGTAATCAACGGCGACAAAAGTTCCTCCAGATATCCGACAAGCCGATACTGGAAGAGCTGAGAGAACTCAGAACGCACTTGATTGGTGTGACACATTTCTTTCCAATGGTCGGGCATATAATGTATCCGCATAAGGGTAGCCAAGAGGGCATTTTTTGGACAATACACAGTGTTTTCGTCAGGCACTAGGCTGATGCAAGCACTAGCCAAAAGGCCACCACCTGTAACTATCGCTAAATAGCCCGGTAGGTGAAGAAGCTGATCACGGATAAGTCCAAGACAAAAGAGTATCACAGAGGCTCCACCCGCAATAAAAGCAAGGTTTCCTGCAACCACGGAAAGGAGACGAGAAGGGAAGCAGTCCAGGTAGCGTGCAGCAGGGCGATAAGCCGAGCCAAGGCGAAAAGTGAACTCATGCCGCAACTCATTAAAATGGCGAAGATAGAGTCTCGAATAGTTCGACCATCGCCGTCCAAGAAAAGAAACAGGTTCATATCGCAGTTTTTGGGCGTTTGCGCAGAAAAAGATGAGTAATTGAATGATGAAAACCACTGGGGAAAAGAGGAGATTGAGGACACCGAGTATTTGTGCATTCCAAGCCAATTTGGAGGCCAATTCGATGCGGTTTGATATCCGTTTGAAGTCGGGGCGCAGATGTCGGTTTCGAGTGAATGGAGCCCATGGACTCCAAAATAAAAGGAACTTAAGGTTAAAAAGGTATCCATCTGAGAGATATATATAGCCGCCTACTGGGCCACTTACACCAGGTTCAACATCATAATAAGGGGAAGTAAACGGAAAAGGGAAACGAACTGGTAATATATCCTTATTGACCATTGCGATCAAGTAGTTGTTGAACCGAAGAATTCGATTGTAGATATCTAATTGATCAAGTTGGGCCTTGCCTCGACAAAGAAAGATGTCATGCTGGACGTCGATTAGTCGTTGTTGAACTGAAGACCAGGTAAGATCAGCTAGATGAACGTCAGAGGTTGGAAGACCAAGTACATAAGTGCAGAAATGGCGCACGTCCCAAAACCGTAGCAGAAGAAAACCAGAACGGGCAAGCGTAAATATCAGCATACCAACTGCAATGAGGACAAATAAAACGGCTGCAAAAGGAAGAGTGGCCCAGCACTGGCCAGGTGGGATGATTATATCGGTCCAATTCTGGACAGGATAGTGAAAATTGGTGACTATATCCGAACGAAAGCAAACAGTAAACTCGATTACAAGGAAGAATACGAAGGCAAACTTCAATATGGACAGTATCATATCAAGTAGTATGACCTGAAATATACACAAAGAATAAGATAACTGAGATAAAAATGGG